TGTGGCCCCCGGGCCGCCAGTTGCCCACCCCTGCTCCAGAGTGTCAAGTGGTGACGCACGTACATGAGCAGTTACTCTCCAGTTGAGTGACCAGCTTGTCTTCGTTTCTTAAGTTTCTTAAAACTGCATATCAAGGGGTAAACGAAATAAATGTGTACATTTATATCCATCTATCTCTACAGATTTCAAAGATCTAAGAAAGAAATCGGCCGATAAATCATTTTGGTGTTAATAGCCTCAAACAAGAAACCTTTACCACACAAGAAAAGATCATAAATACTTTGATAACTCTTCATGTTCTTTTTTTTTTTTTGCCTGTCCTCTATGCATGTCTCTTTATGCTATTCACCGTTACCTCCAAAATCTCTTATCACCAATGTAAGCCCAGTGGCAGTAACAGAGAGCGAGATTCCCGTGGTCTCCTCTGTGGTGAAGAGAGAACCAGGAGCCAAAGCCTTAAAGGATTTAATAGCTTCTGATGTGCTCCGGAGAGCACAGCGAGAAAGCCGCTTAGAGCGTTGTTGAGAAGGTGGAGAATGTGCCAGTGGTGTGAAGATAGTGATTTTCAGCAGACATCTCCTTATCTGTCCAATGGGATCAAGCGGTTACAAAGAGGGCTGAGCTGGCAGTCAGTGGTCCTGTGACTGTAATTTCCACTGCTTGTTGTGTGCCATTATTCTGTCCGTTATCTGGCAATTTTCTGTAATTTGACTTAAGCCCTGCTAGTTTTCTCTGTTAGAGCTTTGTGTTGGGGGGTGGGCACATAAGCATATTACCCAGGGAGGGAATCCCGGACTCCCGAGCTCTTCAATCCTGTAGCCGGAAGGCATATTATATCACACGTTATGGTGTTATTTCTCGAGACAACAAGCATCTGCTGTGATAAAACGCCTTCAGGCAAAACACTGAAGCCTCTGACTCAAGTTTTCAAAGTTTTCTAGTTTACTGTCAACAAATCCCATGCAGAGAATCAAAGCAACTGTTAATTAATCCTCCCCAGTTCCCATTTTTTAATTGAATTATTAATGAATTTTGTACAAAAAGGATAGCAATACTTTTTGAAAGCTGCAAATAATCATTATTTGTATCTTCACTCTGCAGTTACTTTAGCTTCTTTAAGCTTATTGTTTTGGTTTTGAAGTCTTCCACTTTACATTTTTGCTTCAATCTCCTAACAGACAAAAAAAAAAGACATTTTCCCAAAGAAAAAAATTAGACTGGAAAAAGTTAGCGACTAGCTGGTGAATGTAATGGAGCATGAGCAGCTAAAGAGCTACATATTTCCCTAAAAGGAGTTTGTGTAAACATGGGCTGCGATTAATCATGAAGTTATTACATCACAATAAAATGCTGTTGTAATAAAGTACTTTTAAGATAACCTGGCCTGAATATAGTGGGCATGCGCCGTGTGTGTTGTTTCCGCTCGTCTTCTGTTTCCGGTTGGTTTTGATTCCATCGTATTGCGCCACACTGAAACTATTTAAAATGTTTAAGCAACAATGTGAGCTGATGTAAAGTTCACTATCAGCACTATTGTTGCAAAGGGTTGGAAATTTCCAAAAGCTGGGGAATTTTGGAAATATTGCAAATCGGAAACTCCATAATATCATCTAAACTTACTTCACTTTATGTAGTCCACGGGGTGAAATGTGTGGCTTCAACAGTCTTGTGCTCTGGGCTCAAAAGTGTGATCCAGGGTTATAGAAATCATCTGTGCATGTGATGGAGGAATAGCATAAATATTCAAATGTACTTGCATGAAATCTGGTGGTTTTAGTCAAGATTATGCTAAAATATATTTTAGCCAACTATATTTAAGTTCCCGGTTAAGGGCCAACCTTCAATTTAGTAAATTACTGGTTTATTCCCGTTCATTTCCATATAACCTTGAAAATTCCCAGAATTTTGCAACCCTAATCAGCACTGCATTTCTTTGGGTCCACAGCAATACACCCGCCAAAGTCCGACGTCCATTGCATGAATGGTTGTCTAGAAACTCCACTAACAAACACACAGACACACACACACACAGAGATTTCTGGATTTAAAGATACTGCTAAAACAACTATCATCCCCGCTGATAATCCCCTCTGGCTCCTCCAGAGGTCAGGTTCTCTGATCTGAGTTCAGCTACTCTCCTGCAGATGCTCAGACAGAAGCTACAGCTTTAGCTCCACATAAAGACTTCCTGATGGTAAACGTCTCACTACATTAACTTGTCGAGCAAAAACATTTGCCCCACTTCCTCTTCCTCCTGCTGCCGGCTTTTTTGAAGACCCTCCTTCTCTTGCACTACGAGAGCACGAACATCAGGCACATCTGCCTGAGCGTTGACGCCTCACTAAGAAATGCACTTTTATTTCCATTTACCAGGAGTGCAGCCTACTTTTAATCAGGTTTAAGGGTTTTTCTCTCCCACCCCCCCTCTCTGCTAGCATGTTGGCATCATTGCAGTTTGATAGCTAATCTGTTTGAATGTCTCTCCTCTGCCACGCTGGGTTCCTCGTGTTATATAACGGTTTTCTTTTCTCCCAGCAGCCTCGATCTGCTTCACAAAGAAATGAGCTGTGAATCATTGCTCGGCAACTTTGCATCATCACTCCTGTGTCACTGTAAAAAAAAAAAAAAAAAAATGCCAGAGGTATCTTCCCCTCCTCCTGTGTGGGTAACCTAATCCTATGCTAATCAGGTTAAGCGGATTCAGAATGCATCAGAAATTAAATGTATATGCGTCACAGTAGAACTACACAAGTGAAGATTCTTTCAATTAACTCGAATAACGATCTGAAAGCTGCCGTTTTATTGCATTTTGACACATACCTGCTTGGATTCTTTTGGCCACTTGGGGGCAGCACAACAAGCATCATCGACAACATTAAAGTTGTCTCTCAATTCAGGGGTAGCATCCTTTAAAAGGACCCAGCCATCGTAGCCACAGAGCACTCAGGCAGAACTGAACTGAGAGGATCTGGTCTTCAGAGGGTTCTCCATTTAAGTCACCAACTGTCCCCGCTCCCCTCACCGTTTCATTTCTAAGCACCGCCCCTGTCGCCCAGCAACCTCAACGGCTGCACTGGAACTAGCCAACACAAGCTAACATCACATGCATCTATAATTTTGAGTTGGAAGGACGCTTATTTTTTAATGTTAGTATTGGTAGATATCCAAAAGTGTGTTACGCGGCTACTTGAGATTTGGCCGAGGAAAGGAGGACGCCTCTGTCGCAGCTTTCGAAAATGGGACAGCCTACGACTTGCCGCTGTGACGCAATCAGCCTTAAAATGTAGCCTTCAAAGGATGCTGCTCCTGGATTGGGACACAGCCAGTATGTTAAGCGGGGCGAGTTTCTTTAGATACCCAGGAACAGAACACAGAGGCACAGAGGCAGGTAACTGGTGCAATGAATTCTTCACTGTACATGAAACGAGTAGATGAGCCTCTCGGTCTGGTGGATGCCGGGGAGTGGAGCAGAGGAAGGGAGATGAAGGGGGAGGTGGGGGGAGGTAGCGTGAGTCCAGAGGTTCATGTGAGTGCTGATTCAGGTGGAATCCCAAAAAGTACATGAGAGGGAGTTTGGTTGAGTACAGGTGTAAGCAAAAGAGAGCAGGTTTGACCTAATCATACACAACAGGTACAAGATTTTGCTCTAATGGTTACTTGTCTATAATCTAGCAGCATGGTCGATTTGAAGCTCGGTATTTTTTTTTAGCAGAGTGATTGGAGATGGCTTGCAGCTGCAGGAAAACCTCTGCACACCTGACCCCACTCCTGTGATCAAGCACACACACACACACACACACACACACACACACACACACACACACACACACACACACACACAACTCGCACACACAGAGCGAGTGGGAGCTTAAACCGTGCAAGGATGAGGCAAAGGGCATCACTTTTTAGAGTTTTAAAAGGATTTTGTACAAATGTGTCCAAACCGTTTTGCACTGAAATATCCAGAAAAAAAGTTGCAACAGTAACTTTCTCAGATGTCCGGCCAAAATGTTCTCCTATAGCTTTACTATTTGTTACAACAAACCCCTGAGAAAAATGTCTTGACTCTTTAAATGTCAGCTTCTATTGATTTTTTTTGTTGTTGATTTTTTAACAACAATAATGTGATTTAAAAAGGTTCACAAAAGCTGTTAGTGTCAACCAGTAAATTAAAGCTGGGGGCCATACATTCAAACCATTGAACTAAAAGATCCTATAAAGCTTTTTTTTTGTGCAGAGTGGAACTGCAGATTTGTGTGATAATTATCTGTGGGGTTTTGAGTAATGCAGGGTACACACGACAAGTTAATCTTCTGATTTTGCGCCTCATTTTCCTCTTGATGGTTTTAATGATTATCTTTCCAGATTTTCCTCTGGTTTGAGGTGTGTTAAGAGTAGGGCTGTCAGGGTAAACAAGTTAACGCATTCAAAAAAAAAAAGAAGCTATTTTGCCCCTTAAGGCGCACCGTAGCTGAGCCACAGCACTGACCGCAGCATTTACCTGTTGCCATAGTGATGGAAACTAACGGTAAAAGAAAGTCCCAGACAGCTCAGTTGACAAGTCAAAAGTAATATCCACCTGGGGACATCAAATGTCACTCTTATACCGTTACTTTTTGCTGTTTTCATTTACTTTTCAATCCGGAAGTTCCTTATTTTCTTTCAAAATAAAACCAAATTTGTATCCAAATAGGAAGTAAAGTACCCTATGCTCAAAACAGGACAAAAATACAAAATAAAAGCATCACAAAAACTATTTTAACATGCAAAATAATGGAATTTGCTATTGAAATTCTTTGCAATTAATGTGTTTTTTTTATTTTTTATTAATTTGAAATGTTTTAGTCTCGTTGCTGTCCACATAATATAGACACATCACTGTTCAATCATAACCATTATTATCTGTCATATGAGGTCTCTTACTGTATATTTTCTTAATCTTGTCTTTCAATTAAATCCAAAACCTTTCTTTCCTGTCTAGGATATCCAGCATTCTTCCCCCTCACCTCCTCTGGCCTGACTGACCCACCAGCCCTCCACCATGAACTACCTCCGCCGGCGCCTGTCAGACAGCAGCTTTGTGGCCAACCTCCCCAACGGCTACATGATGGATCTGCAGAGGCCGACCCCTCCAGGTTCATCCACCTCCTCTCCCGCCTCCCCGGCCACAGAGAGACGGCAGCCCCCGAGCCTCCCGACTCAGACCCAGAGCTCTGCCTCAGCCCCGGCCCCGGCCCTGGCCCCTGCCCCGGCTCCGACCGCAGCCCCGACCCCGACCCCGGCCCCAGCCCCGGCCTCCTCTGGGGGCGGAGGGGGCTTCCTCAGCTCCTTCTCCAGCGTGGTGAAGAGTGCTCAGATGGCCCAGAACGTTGCTGCCGCTGCGCACGCCAAAGCAGCTGCAGCAGCAGCTGCCGAGGGGAACAGTCAGCCACCCAAACCTGTGGTACGCAAACCCAAGATCCTGCTGGTCATCGATGATCAGCACACAGACTGGTGAGTGGCACTTTGATGGTGTTACGGTGTGGGTGCGATGAAAAAAAGATATATTTTAAATGTGTGCTGTAGATTTTCCCAGAAGATAAATTCACTGATGTGAGGTAGAATGACTTAAAATTAGTCTCAAACAGTTGTGATTCATTTAAAAAAAGGATGCAGTTCATTCAAATTGTACCTCCAATGACTAATACACAATGGATCAGTTCAACTAACGAGCTGATTTTACTGACTGGACATTATATGACTACAATTCTGCAACATGAAGAGGAGAACTATGCCAATTTGGTATGGTATTGTGTTTTAAAGAGTGTTGCATTGCATACTTTATAACTTGGGAATTTATTTTCAGATCAGTATCTAGAAAATATTTTCTACTTCATTCAAAGAACAATTTCCAGTTTTTGAGAATCAGGGATATTTCTTTACTCTGAGAGTTAGATGTAGAGATGTAACCCAAACCCATACAATCATGCTGGACAGCATATTAACCAGCAGAGGGCACTGTCTGCTTTTGGCTTTTTCTTGTTCGATGTCAGTAGCTGAAGAAGAGAGGCTGCAGACATGGAGGACGAGACCAGTTTTCCTCAGGGGACAAAGTGTGCATCATATCATATCACGCTGACTCATAATGTGTGGTATTGAATCGTGTTGTATCGTATCATAGAATATCGTTATTGTATTGTGTCATGTTGAGTCGTGTTGTATCGTAGGGTTAGGGTTGGCTCACCTTCAACACTGCGTTCTTTGCTCCTGGGTTTTTCCGGGCTCTTTTGAAATGAAACACCTGCCCTGGTTCAGTAGAATAGGATGGGACATCTGCATGTTTATGATAGACTCTTTATTGGCCTCGAGGTTCACGGGTTATACTCTGTGCTGGAATTAAAAATTGCCATGGTAACAGGAGGAGAGTCTCTTGCTCTGGAGATGACGTTAATGAGAAGAGACGGGATCATGATTCAGGAGCAGCACACATGTGCGTGTTAGAGGCTGATATCTGCACACTGTGGGAGAATTGATTTCATGCAGGAGAGGCGTGCAGCGGCCAGTTTATCATGTTTGTCTTCCTGAATCAATAACCCATTCTTCCATTTTATGAATTGTTATTCTGTTGCCTGACATTTGCTGGTAAATCGCCCTCAGTGAAGCTGTTATTAGCTGTTTCCAGCCCTTTGAATTGATGTGCACAATTAGCCAGGATCATTTTGCACCAGAGCATCTGTTTCTGAGGCTCTCCAGGGGGGGGAAAAGGACCATGTCTAAAAAATGATCTCTAAATTAAAGCCCTCCCACTGTCAGCCGCCATGATTGCTCTCCATATTCTGAAAAGCAGGGCCGCCTGTTTTCTTTAATCCGTCTGGCAGAAATCCCAAAAAAGGCCTGTTCATCCTGACGTCCTGGTGGTTTCTGGAGTGAGTCGTCAAGAGATTTATCCTCCCTCTGAGGCATCGAGGCCCACTGCCACTCTCAGAGGCACCATCCTCACTCTTAAGAGAACAGCAGTATTTATTATTCACCTAAACAAACTCGGTTACATATATACAGAGAGAGTTTACAGGCGGCTTTGAAAAGGTAATGGCATTTTTGGGGCTGGTTTCGATATTGGGGAGCGAAAAAATCTGATTGATATATTGGCCGATATCTTTCTTGTTGGATCTGTTGAGATATGGAATCATATTTGTACCAAAGAAATCAAACAAAACTTCTTAAATTGCAAACAAAAAACAAGACTTTGAGAGAAATGTAATCTCACTCAAGCAAAAAAAAATTACTTGCAATTAAAATATTTGTGTAATGGTGTAAATAATCAGCCTTTTACTTTTCTTATCATCAGTCCTTTTGTTTACAGTTCCCTCTTTTTCTTTCTCACTGATCAGACTTTTGCTCTCACTGTCAGCTTTCTCGTTTGCGCTGCCTGACTATTTGTTTTGCGATTCTGGCACAAACTTCTCGAGTGGGTGGGCTTTATGAGTAATGCGTCCCCATTGGCTAATGAGTTTTTGAGTGACAGCTCAATGTCCCGGACGTTCCAGGAAAAGGACTGATGATAAGAAAAGTAAAAGGCTGATTATTTACACGATTACGCAAATATTTTAATTGCAGGTATTTTTTCTTTTTTGCTTGAGTGAGATTATATCTCTCTCAAAGTCTTATTTTTGTTTGCAATTTAAGAAGTTTAGTTTGATTTTTTTTTGTGGCACAATTATGATTCCATATAGAGATTGATAGATATAGATAAACATTTATTGTGTTGATCCCTCAAAAACAGTTGTCGAACACTTGTGGAAAAGATATACAGCATAACTTAGACAAGATGGTCGCTAAACTGGAAAGTAACTGAGCATGTACGTGCATCGTCACTTCACACGCTGGAGGGCGATAATGCTTGATATCCATATAGCGCACTCTGCTGGTGACAGCCGGAAAGATAACTGCTAGTCCAATACAACGATACTCAAATGAAATGCAGTTTGACTGGTAAATAAATCTAGTAATATTGGTGCATATCTGCGATAAAAGTAGCCGATACTGATAATCAGTGGATATGCTAATGTCGGCCGATGTTATCGGCTGGTCGATTTATCGGTCGGGCTCTAGTTAAAAGAAGGTAATTTTCTTCCAAAGGACTCTGATTATATGCACGCTTGAAACTGTATACAGTAATACCTGCACTGTATTATACAATCCACTGCAACAGCTCAGATATAAATGTCACCTTTGTGTTACTGTTCAGCCTTCTTTCAAGCTGTGACTAAAATATGTTGTTTGATTAGATTCTGTCATTTCCACGGCCGTCTAGATTATGTACTAAGCTTCATAATAATGTTATTCATTTTCTTTTAGCTTACTATTGTGACCTAGTTAAATGACGGTAGATAAGTGTCTATGTGAAGGAGATGAAAAATCTAAATACAGGGTCATACAACTTGTAAACACTACAACCATCATAAGAGTATAGTGCATTTTTATTCAGTCTTTTATTCAATATATGTTCAGTCTTTCAGAAGTCAATTCATATTTGTTACTGTGAGTTTGATGAACCACATTTGATTTATAAAACTCCTATTTCAATACTTCTATTGTTTTCAAAACTTGTTTGATGTGCAAGTCAACCTGTTCCTTTTCTGGCCACTGGGGGGCACTGTAGTTCAACTTCACAGGCCTCACACAGACCTGCTCATCAGTCGTCCTCTGCGCTTTGATTTCTCTGAGCAGAATTGAAGGACTTGGGCCAGCAGATGGTGATGTTTCATAGGCTCTGAGGTTTATGTGGAACAGTCCTCCTGTGTCGAACAATTAGCATTGCACCGTTTGAGCTCGCAGATGTTCTGTTATCAACAGGGTCTCTTGTGAGAGAAAGCTAAATATAAGCCAAGAACACATTGTGACATAACATATCTTCACACTGAAATGTCTAATATATTCAGTAAATGAATGTTAGGCTGCAGAAAGACCAAAGCTTTAGGGTTCTGGTAAAGTGTGACAGGTCAAAATTAAGGAAAGTTCTATGTCAGATCAAATCTTCACATCACACCGAAGGAGACCAATACCATCCCTCAAGTGAAAAATCTAACTCGGCACAGACCAGGACCCTGCTTTTAGTTTTTCTCATCATTTTGGTTTTTATTTACAACCTAGTTGGTTACAAGTCTGGGATGTCATCCTTCAGGTGTTCACACCTTTGCCATTAATTAAAAGGCTGATAGAAGGATGGAATCAGTTAAAACACAGCTTATGGAGGTCGTTTAGTTACTTACAGTGGAGATTGTAGAGTCTGTTGGGGCCTTCGGCATGAATCAATTGGGGGCCCTCCAATCAGCGTTCATCACCATCATGTCTGCCAATCTCCCAACACTTACTCTTCTTCCTCTTCCTTTTTTTCTCTCCTATAGACGGATAATTCCTCTTCATTTTTCATTGTTGACTGTCATTGACAAATTTTGGTTTTCACAGTGATGCTGCATGCAACGCTCAGCGGGGCAACGAGACTGAGTGCTGTCAGATCGTGCCCCCTTAGGGAGGTTTCCTACTGTCGTTGCAAAATTTGCACATTTTTCGGCCACTGTCTTGGTTTGTGGGCCCCCCTATTGGTCTTGGGCCCCAAGCAGTTGCCTGCCTTGCATGTTGACAAGCCGCACCTCTGGTCACTTAGACTTAGCCGTGAGTTAGGTTTTCTGATGATATATCGATTGCTGATATTTCCTCCAAGAAACATTCTCATTCCTATTGAGTAATCCAGTGATACTTGTACATCCAGGGGAACATTCAACAATTCTGCTTTCTTTTTGTGACGTCAGTATTCCAAAAATGAATGAATAATAATAATAATAATACGCTTTATTTATAAAGCACTTTTCAAAACAGGGTTACAAAGTGCTTTACAAAAATGAAAATAAAATAGAGAAATGTGAGGAGGACAAGGATTCAAAATGAAACAACAAAATTGTGAGAGATTAAACAACAGGAGTTCCACAAATGATAGAAATAAAAAGGAAATTAAACCATTTAAAACCAGTGAGGGGAAAGGGAATACAAAATGTAAAAGAATACATTCAAAAGATTAAAAGATTCAAACAAAGGAAACAGATTCAAACTCCTGAAAAGATCAAAGATGATAGCTTCCTTAATTTGGAGCTAAGGATTAACAAACGCTCAAACAACAAATCCCCTAAAAGCCCTACCATTTATGAAAGAAGGGGCACAGTGTTCTCAGTTTTGTCCTTTAGTGTCAGTGATGTCAACCAAAGTGGTAGGCTGAGATAGTCGGTCAAGTCACTGAATCAAGAACTCTTTAATACAGAAATCTTTTACATTTAGAAGAACTTAATTGTTTGATCACATTATTCTTCACACAAAAAAATGTATTAAACTTTGGAGGTGTTTCCCATTCACTTCAGTTCAGGTCCAATCCTTATTAGGGATTACATTTACAATTACATCCCAATCTGTGCAAAGAGTGACTTTAAATCTGAGACATTTCTCTTAAACTTCAAGTGTTA